GAATAACATATATAATCCACCACAGTCATTTTTTAGCATGTTATTATAAATTCATACCCAAAATAAACCTTTGATTCGATCAAAACCATCAATTGGGTTAAACTCAAGCATAAACTAAAACACTAGAAATTGCATTATTCAATTAATAATCAAATTGAAATGCCAAATGATGGGAAAAACATCAAACTAGCTATTAAATCCAAGGAAATGGACAATTAGACATACCTTAAGTTGATGTAGAGAACCCCAAAATCCCCAAATCCAAGCCCTAATTTTTGGAATTCCAAGGTGCACTAAAAACACTTTTGCTCCGATCAAATCGTAAATCTTAACGAGCTCTTCAATTTGCCGCAAACGGAACCAAAAATTTCCTAATGGTTTGAGAAAAATCGAGATTTAAAGCTTGTAGGGAAAATAAATGAAAAGAGAATGAGGGAAAGAGATTCGTTGAGAGAGAGAGAGAGAGAGAGAGGAATGAGGAAAAGTGAGGCCAAAATTGGCCTCTTGCCCTCTTTTAATAAAAATTAGTGGGTCCCACCCTTTAAAATATCTTTTCCCTTTTTTAATTTCTACCACAAATATATATATGCACATAATAAATCACAACCACATAAAACACATTAAACAAAATAAATGAAATACAATTAGATCCAAACAAAACCCCCGGACGCGACAATTCCGGTAGCGGGTCCCACCTAGGACTCCCGGCATAAGAAACAGAAAAATGCCGAAATGGTAACCCATTCATTTCTAAGAGTCCTGAGCTCAATGGAATGCCCCCAACCAACTCTTAGACATAACTGGCACACCCCACGGTGTTCGGCACGCGAAACGAGAAAAGACGAAAATACACTAGAAAAAAATCAGAAATTCCAGAAAAATGGAAAATGAGAAAAATCAGAAACGTCACATATGTTGGAAATGTGTAAAAACGCCCCCCTGAATTTTCTCCTTCCTTTATATACTATATATGTTTCCTTAAATGTTTTTTCTTAAATTGTTTTATTATATTATATATATGTAATTGATTAATTTATCTCATCCCAGAAATATCAATCTCTATATATATCCACCTATGTCTCTTTATGTATATATACTCCATAAATACTAATTTATATGTATTTAGTGTATAATGTGCCCCCCTGAAAAAAAAAAAATTATGCCTCTGTCCCTGTAGCTAATTTAATGATTCTGTCATATATAAAGCCATATCTAACAATGAGTCTATCTTATTAGTTATCTCAATGATTACATCACATACATTCATTTATTTCATCCACAAGGCATAAATTAGAGATATAACGAATAATACAACCATAGATCATGTTTATAGATCACAAGGACATCAACATATATAATTAAACCATAAATTAGATTATGAAATTAATTGCACAATTAACGTGTTAGCACAAAATAATTTAGAACTTATTACGTAATTTAACCATTTATAGTAATTACGTGTAACAATATATAGCATGTATTTTCCACTAAAGTGGTAAAATTGACCAACCACTACCATATTGTCCAAAAAGTGGTTATAACAAATATTTAAATAACACGTTACACGTTATATAACTATTTAGAATTATTCACCCAACACCTAATCAACACAACATTATCCAAATTGGTTATAACAATTGGGATAAAATATATAACTAACACGTTATTTAATGTACGATATAGTTTAACCAATACGTAACCAATGCAACGTTTTCCAAAAAGCGAATACCCACTTAAAGTGGTAAAACAATTTGGACACAATTAAATATGGATTTAGGGGTCCTTGTTTTATTTATTGATTTCTGAGTTGTATTTTTGGAGATTTAAACATTTATCGATTTTATGGATGGTTGAAGATTATTATCATTTATTATTATTTCTTTTTGCTTTTAATTTTTTTATTTTATTTATCACTTTGTACTATTTGCTTGCTTATTATCTATTGCCTATGATATCACCCGATTTTTGCGTGTATGATAAACTTATGTGTGAAAATTAGGGGTATCATAATTAAGGTGAGTGAGAGCCTTTGCGTTGTTGAACAATATTGCATGTGTGTCTATATATATATATGGTAAATTACACTGACCTCCCATGATGTTTGAACAAATTACAAATATAAAGAATATTTCAGCGTTTATTACTTTAGTCTCCCTTAAACTGGTTCACGGGTGGCCCAAAAGTGTGAAAGTCAGTAATGCCCTTATATTATAATATAGGGCGAATTACATTGACCTCCTCGAGATTTATCATAATTACATGGATCTCCCCTACCATTTTTGAAATTACTCGAGCATCCCCTAAAAACTAAACCTTGTAACACACACCACCCTTGCAACAAACATATTTTTTTTTCTTTTCCATAATTTTAACTTCATAAGTCACCTCCTTATAGACAACACCCGTTATTTATGGTTAATTATAACATTGTGTTGTTGCAATATGGTGTTGGAGAAGGTATACTTGAATTTTAGGAGGTGATTTACATACATATATGGATGTATGTATAGATTAGGAGTGAGGTAGAATTCAAAATGTTTGGAAGCAAATTGAATTTTCGTCATGGACTAGTGGTAATTGTTAAAAAGGGAGACCTATGTCACAAGATTTGTTTTAGGGGTTTAGAGTAATTTTTAAAATTTAAGGAAGGTTCGGTAATTATGATAAACTTTAAGAAAAATTAATATAATTTTTATTTTATAGAAGAAAAGGAAAAAAATTATTATTTTATAAAATTTGGCATCGAAAACAAAACAATAGAATCACAAATATGAGGAATAACTAAATGCCAAATGGTCTTTCTTTACCCAGAACTCGAGGGAAGTCTGTAATTTACCCATACGTATATATACACCCACGATATGGTACTAGACTAAAAGAAATCAATATCTCATCGCTTCAGCGTACAGCCGTTCTAGAGATAACCAAAAACCCTCACTCTCGCATCCCTCACGGCCTGCCACCGAAGCCGGCTTCGTCAACCTCGCCGACCACCCGCCCACTGGTTTTACGGCCTACGGTCAGTTCTCTCTCTTTTTCTTTTTTTTCTTCAAAGTTAAAGATCCATTGCTGTGTGTGGTATACCCAAAGTACAACTTAGTGAACTTGCTGCGTGTGGTATACATAAAGTAAAACTCAGTGAACTTACTCCGTGGGTGGACAGCGGCTGTCTATATATTATATGTCTAAAGTGCGTATAGATTTACACCAATTTATTACTTGAAAAATGGGTAAATCTTTATTTTACAGATATTTGTGTTGGATTATGATTTATGGGTTCAATTCGAACAGAATATACATCCGATCTTATGAAATTTCTTTATCTTTTACACAGATCTAATGATTCTGATCTCATAAAATTACTTTAACAGAACACATATCATTTATATATTTCCTTTATTTTTACAGTAGTTCATTTATCATTTAAGCTCACAGAACGCATACTTGATCATTCATTTTGATTATATGTTAGTGTATCAGTAAATTGAAACTTAAATGGGGCGGGGCAGTGAAACTTAAGTGGGACGGTGAGGGGGGTTTTGCTAAACAGTTTTTGGTGGGGAGACTTAAACGGGAGGGGGAAGGTACTCCTGCCCCCTTTACCATCCCTATGTACGTTGTAATTAATCAAGAAGAAGAAAGGTTGTAATGATAATCATGAAGAAAGGTAGTAGTAAGAGCACTCTCTCTATTAGTTTCACTTGGTAATAACCAACTAATTACCCATCAAATATCGAAATTTCAGTGAGGTCACTTAGCTTTCCATAGTAAATATAGCTAGGGATGCAAATTGTTGGGCCCAATTCGGACAAACTCGATCCTAGTTCCAAAGTTTTTGGGCGGGCTGTTTAACTTGCAATTTGGTCCGAGCTTGGTTTGAAAAGTAACAACCCCCTTTCATTTTGATTGGAGCTCTAGTTACTGTGTGGATCAATTTGAAGCCTAACCTGAGGCGGTCCTGAACTATATTTAAACCCGACTTATCAACCCTAACAATGAATCGGATATATACTGTAGAGCTGAGCTCCTCCTCCTTGATGGGGAGGATTTCTCCCCCAAATTTTTTTGTTGGAAAAAATAACCTCAGAGTATGTCAGCTCATAAAAGGTGGCTATTTATGTTATTTCAAAACTTACTTCCCCAGCTTCTATCTCACGTGCCTCTCCCCCAAGAGTGATCGACCTTGTGCACCAGGTGGGTTTCTTCTCTCCCACTGCACCACCACCACCAGATCGAACCTAGTCCCCCACACCCATATCGGTGTCCCCTTTGGTCTCTGTTATCTCTTCGTGGGGCAGTATTCTTTATTTTTTTTTCCAAAATTGTATGATTGTTGTGCTTAAATTTTATGAGCACCACTGCCACCAGATCGAAACTAGTCCGCCACACCCATTTCGGCGTTCCTTTGGTCTCTGATATCTCTTCGTTGGCCTGTATTTGTTTCAATATTTTTTCCGAAATTGTATGATTATTGTGCAGAAGTTTTATGCCCTTGACTATATTGGATCAATTTGCATTTCATCTCTATTGGAAATATTTGTGCTTTTGGATTCAGATATTCTCTACCTAGTTTGATTTGGTGTAGATCTGATTGTAGCAAATACATAGCATCGGCTTATGTACCTTAACAGGCGCGAGTGGTAGGGATTAAGTTTGTCTTGTTTCATATGTTTTGTTTTGTTTTGTTTTTTTTTTTTTTTCCCTTCGCAAACTAGGTGGAGTGGGGATTTGAACTCGGGCACACCTGCTCGAGGAGCTAGGTGCTCTATCAACTAGGCCAGTAATGGCCTCTTGTTTCGTATGCGAGCTTTTATGTTTTTTATACACAAGTGCATAAACCCTTTTGTGCATCCGACGAATGTTGGGATTCCATTCTCTAGTAGTTATTTTGCACTATAAACTGAATTGAAGTACAGTATATAATTATGTGATTGCCTGCCCATTGTGATTTAGTTGTTTATTTCGATTATGTTTTTTTTTTTTTTTTTTTCCTTCTGAAGGTTATTCTTATATTGGAGTGCCTTTTAAGGAGGTCAGAATTCAGAGCAGATACTGTAATTGGGGCAAGGATGTCTGAGGTGTCTACTTAAACTTGAATACATTCACATTCCCTTTTCATGCACTCGGATCCTCACTTATAATCTCCTCTGTTGTAATTGGGGCATATGTAATATGTTGAAAACAGGTGTAATTGTGTTGAAAAACCCTATGGCACCACTACAGCAAGGGAGATTACAGCAGAGGATCGGGGCTCCCTTTTTCTTACTTATATTACTGTTCGTGCATTTATTTTAATGATATGCGCTATTATCTTTTTGTGGTCGTCTTCGCGTGTTGATGTTAGTGTTGTTCAAATAATGACAGGTTGGATATGCTCATCTAAAGAAGAAATTGTTTGTTATGATGACAAACCTCTATTTCTCTCTTTTATGAATGAGCTATTTCAAAGAAAAGTACCAAAAACAGAAGAAGTTGGAAAGAAGGAATCATCTGATTAACAAGGTAAATATTGCCCACCAATAATTTTGTATCAAATTTGTCAGTTTGGCATAATAGATTGTGCCATCGCTTTCCTCGGAGGGGAGACTGGTTTCATCGCTGATCTCAATATTCCCTTTAACGATGGATTATATCCATTGCATTTAGCAGCTAATAGTTTATCATATGAAATGATTGCGACATTACTTTGCCATGGAGCTCGGACTGATGCAGAACCATAGAGGGTGAATTTAGGGGCGACTTGTTTCCTCTCAACGTATCACTTGAAACAGTAAGGTAGAAGACAGATTTTATAATATAAAATTATTCTTTCTTATATCTTTCATGGGGCCTATAATATGAACTTAGATCAAGGTTTAATACATCATTCTTAACTACCTAATTCTTTTCCCTTTTTCTTGATTGTATTTTTAATGTGGCTGATGCAGTTATCATCGATCCTTGATTGATTGGACCCCAAAACAATCTATCTTCAAGTTGATCGTTGTTCTTTTGTCTGCCTCAAATGGTTTGTTTAGACAAAATTTATGTGTATTACAAATAATGTTTACTTTCTATACATTTGAATGGGTTGAGTGGTCTGATCTATTTTTTTTTTTTTTCCTTTCTGTTTGTTGCTTATTATGGTTAAATGTGGCAGAAAGTACCATTAGAAATTAATAGGTTGCTGGCATGGAACACAAAGGAAGTTGATAAAGTATTTATTCATTATGCTATGGAGGGAGAACTTATTGAGATGGCTACTCTACTGTTGGTTGCTCGAGAAAAGTTAACCCTTTGAGCATGTCAATACTCAAAAGCATCATTGAAGAGATTGTAGGACTAACTGAAGATGAATTCAAATTGATCGGAAGTCACAAGAATGATAAGTTGGTTGACGAGATTGTAGGACTAACTCAAGATGAAAGCAAGTTGCTCAGAATTAATAAGATTGGTAAGTTGGTTCGGTCGCTTAACGATATTAAGGCAGCGATGACGCCGGGAATATTGTTGCTCAAAGTGTTTGAGAAGGCTGGTGTTGCTCTTGAAAAATACAGGCAATTAGTACAAAGTGAAGTAAGTTGTTATGATCTGTGTTTTTTATGGTTTTTGTGCTTGTTTCTTGCGATTTATTGTAATTCTCATATTGTTTGCAACATGCATAGATTTAAACTTTTTTTCTTTTCTTCCAAAAATTGTGTAGAAATTTATTTGGTTATGATATTTATACCTATTAAAAATTACACTGACCCCCATGTGGTTTGCCTCTGTCACCCAGATAGAACTTGGCAATGTTTTTGAAAGTCACACCTCCTGTTAGCTTTTCCACATTAAAAATGTGTGAAATGTCTAAATTGCCCTAATTTTTTAATGCTCTTTTATTATAAAAAATAGAGAAACCAAAAGACTACTTTGCCCCTAAAACCAAAAGACCCATTTTTAATGCTTTTCTCACATTTTTAGCTTACCCCACCACCGACCATTTCCAACACCACCCACCATTGCCGCCCACCACCACCTGCCCCTTCTTTTTCTCTCTCCCCACTCACCACCGCAACCTTCACCCCACTACCACCATTAAAACAAGCTTCGCATCAATCACATACCAACCCGAACCCCAACTCAGTTGAGTCCAACTCGTTCGCCATTGAAGCCTTGCTCGACCTCGAAACCGAGGCAGACAAAAACACCCCTATACACCTCAAGTACGTCTCTCTCTCCTCCACCACCACAATCAGCTGTCACCATCCCTCTCTACACATTTCAATTGGGACACTCTCTCCTCCACCCTTCCTCTCTCTCTCACTCTCTTTTTCAATAGTCCACCTCCACCACTCCAACCACCCACATCCATCACTCCCTTCGCCATACTCCACCACTCTAATCACCCAACTACCACACACCTCTGAATCCCTAGCCTTTACCACTATTGACAACTCAATTACTTAGAATCAGTGATGTTGTGGCCTGAGTTTGGTTCTAGGGTCGCAACTACGCCTTGTTTAGTACCCTCTTGTAGCCCGATATATAATGGGCGTTTAGGGTTTGGAGTGGGATATAGATAGACACTGAAAATCGTAGAAAATAGAGCGAGAGAAAGGGTTTGGGGGTTGAAACTTGTACCTACCAGATTTTTGCATAGTGAATGCTTTCACCGGAACTTCATTGTGGATGTAGGCTTTGGCGAGCCACGTCTGCCGTGTTTCGTGATTGTTGCTTGGTTGTGATTGGTTTATGGTTTTGATGGTGAAGATGGTGTCAATTTTTGGAGAATTTTCGTTTCTTTCGTGTTTTGGTTGTGATTGGTTTAAGGTTTTGATGGTGAAGATGGTGTCATTTTTTAGAGAACTTTTGTTTTTTTTTTTTTTGTTTTTTTTGTTTTTTGTTTTTTGTTGTTTTTTTTTTTTTCCCCCAATAAATGGAGGAAATTTTTATGAATATAAACATTATGGAGAGAACTTTTTGTTTCTTGATAAGGGAAGGCATAGGGAGGTTTTACAGAAGGTGTTTGGTGGAATGAAATTGCATGACTTGCCTTCATTGGTTCATTAGTTATTTGTTTTGTCAGTGAAGGGGTTATATGGGGCCATCTTGAATGGCGAAGACTTCAATTGGGGTGATTGAGGGTGGTCTGGACCTTGATGGTTCGACCATGGAGTAGTGGTTGCAGAGGATTGCAATGTATGTGTTTTAGAGAGAGAAGGAAGAGAAGAAAGAAGAGGTGGTGGCTGTGGGTGGTGGTGGTGGCAGCATTGTGGGTAGGTGGTTGAGATGAAGAGGTTATTTTGGACATTTAAAATTAGTTAGAATGGGTTAATTGGTAATTTAACTATTCAAAGTGTCACTTCACAAGTAAAAGGGCATTCAGGTCATTTTACCATGTGCCGGAGCGTTCACGGAGTGTCTTTGTCTAATGGAGCGAATCTGAGGAGGTGTCACTATGAAAGAATTGGGTGTCAAAGAGGCAAACCACGGGGGTGTTGTGAATGCTAGTTGTTTTTCCTTTTGAATGAAAGAGGTCATCTTTCAACTCGTATTACTACCAGTTTCCTCATGTTTTAAGTTTTGACCCAACACTTCACAAAGTTACTCCCTTAATGTTTTCTTATAGATTCCAAAAGAAAAGGTGGTCAACGACATTAAGGCGCTGCTTGAGAGAGCCGGGTTTGTTATAAACGACAAAGATGTTGATTTAAGTGACATTGACTGGTTTGGCAGCTAATTACTTTGTTCAGTTGATCGGTGAAAATTTTGTATCTTCTTATCTCTCTTTCTTTAGGTGATTTGATTTTGAATAAGCTCTAGTATTCTAATGCATGTTTATTTTTTCGTGACATTAAAATGCCATAGTGAAAGTGAAAGTATCAAAGAGGCAACGGAAGAATTAGGTGATTGGTTGATTTCCACTTCAAGTGACTCATGCTTCAAAGGAATTTTCCAGAAAAAATCCATTAGGCTTTGTTTGATTAGATGGAATCAACTAGAAAAGAAAGGAAAGAGAAAATTTTTAAATTTTTTTAGAGTTTGGATAGATGGAAAAAGAATCGTAATAGAAAATATAGTTTCCCACATTAGACTAGTTTCCCCCAAAACTTTTCTGACATAAAACACGAGGAAATAATATTTTCTCTTGAAAACTGCTTCTTTTTATTTAAAGTTCCTATTTTTTCCAACAACTGAATCATGTAAAACAACTAACTTCTTTCTTTTCTAACTGAGTTTCTTTTCTACTGAGTTTCAAAGAGGCAAGTTTTCTAACAATTTCTATTTTAGTGGACTTCTAAAAGGCAAGTTCTCTCTAAACATGTTCTTTTGCAATACTATTTGGACGATTTTTTTTTTTGGGTTCCAAATATATACATTGTATTTGATATATATATATATATATATATATACCCCTCTATTATATATACATAGAATAATATATGTTTTGCTTTTTTGTGTTCTCTAGTTGAAAGCCCATGAGTCCATGAGCCCAAATTTTTTATTTTTTATTTTATTTTTAAGCCTCCTTATTCCTTTTAAATGAATAGTTAGTTTTACTTCTATGGTTCTACCTAAGAAGTCTTGAAGTTTTGTTTTATTTTATACAATATAAATGAATATAAATAATTATATTATTAACTTTAATAATTCATCATTTTTTTTAAAACTTTGATAAAAATAGATATCATCAAACACAAATTTATTTATTTTTTTAGTATTTGAAATCATAAGGGTAATTTTGGTATGCACAATCACTTTCTTTTCATTTTCATGCTATCCAAACTAACAAACTAATATTTTCATACAATTTTCTTGAATAAATTTTCATGCTAACCAAATGCTTGATAGAAAATAACTTTTCTTTTCATTCACTTCACTTTTCTTTCATTTTTCATTTCTTTTCTTTTCTTGCTTAGTTATATGTAACCAAACGGGGCCTTAAAGTAGTCTGATTTTGTTATGTTTTGTTTTACACAGAAGAGAGTTTAACATTGAGGTCTTATTCAAAGGATCTCTGCATGCCACCTCCCTCACTGTCTAACAGTTTTTCCAAGGAAAAGGTAAGAGACATAGACAGTAGTTTGTCCTTGCTGATGTTTTTCTCATTAGGGATGGTAAATTCTTGCTTCACATATTTTGAAGTATAAATTTTAATCTTTTTGTGTGCTGTTAAGAATTATATTCATGAATACTTGAGCAACTCATCTCTCTCCCATCCACTTATCATTCCTCCCGACCTAGCAAACACTCATTTTTGGTGTTTCTCATATCCGAGGTTGATGCTACTATATTATCAGCTTTTTTATGTGGCATTTGAGGATCACCTATGTGTGGTTGGTTATATGATGCATTGATTCTACCTACATAGGATCTTAGCACTGGAGGTTTGGAAAACGAGGGTGATGATCTCGTGGCTTATCTTTTTCTTACCCATTCCCAAAACTATGGTTGGGTTGATTGGAAAAATTCCAAATGTTTTTGCTGCCTCTCTCTACTCTTCATCTTCCCTCTATTCATCTTATATTGCATTACTCTCTTTCTTCCTGTATGTTCAGTAACTTCAGTTGGGTTTTGGAAGTGTCTTATGTGGCCATTTGCATAGTCCTGACTATTCCAGGCTCTCATTACAATATTATTGAAATCTACTCTTTACTTTCATACTTTTACGTACTTTTCTGCATCCTCTATTATATCCCTTTTTTTTAGTCTATCAAAGCATGAAGCTTTCAAGGCTAGAGGTGCATTTTACATAATCTCAGATTTGGTCTTGTGTCTATTAAGAGCCGTTCCACGATATTCTCCACAATTTTTTATTTATACCCCAAAAAATTGTTCTTAATAATCTGAATCTAGGTAACCTTAGGGTTGCATTACTTCATTAGTGCGGAAAAGTTTTTGTATCTACAATCTAGCAATCGATCACTTCCCAAACCAAACTAATTCTGACCCCTTTCATCTATAAACCATATACATGTTCCTCTACCTTTCAGGGCGATGGTTCTATATGATTTTGTTGATAAAAGAACAACAGAAAATTATTTGTATGTAGCATATTACTAAGTCTACTGAGTCAGCCAACATCATGAGTTCTATATTGATAGGTCTTTTAATGCGTCATCCCACCACTGGAAATCAAACGAAATGCTTGGGTTTTCAGAGGCAAGATCTCCTCGCTGAACCATGTTTTGGACCAAATCTGTTCCTCCATCATAGAGAGGCTCATGGGTGGGTTTTTGAAAGATTCACCCCAATCTTATCGTGTTTTGCTCAGCTGGGGTCTCTGCCCCTCCTCCAGCCATCCTCCAAGGAAGCCTCTTGACTTGAGATCGGCTTGAGAATTGTTACTGGGCTTGGGTTTGTTTTGGGCTTTTTTTGTATCCTATTCCCATTTATAAGTGATGGTTTCTAATTGGGCCTGGTCTCTCACTTAGAGATCTTATCCGGTGGACTTGTCCACTTTTTACATTTTATTGTTTTATACAATTTGCTTGAAATTCTGGAATATATATATATATAACTTCTACAATTAGCAAATTTCTTTGGCTATATATGAGCACCAAAAGTCGTGTGTTTTGTTTTCCTTCCAACCTCATTTAATCCAAAGGTTCTATGTGTTATAGCGGATAGCCTGTTGACAACAATTGAATGTCAAACATTAAATGAGTAAGACTCAATTTTCGAGAAATTTTTTGTACCCTTGTGCATTGTAATTCTTGTTTCATTAAATGTATTTTTTTCTTTTTCTTTTTTGGGATAAAGAAGTAGCAAATCAGGGATGTTGAGGATGTCTTTCTTCCATTTTTCTTTATTTCAACAATTTTACCAATTAAATCCTTACAACAGTGGAGTGCCAAACATTCAATGAGTTAAGACTCACTTTTAGAGAAATATTGGTACCCTCGTATGTGTACTTGTAATTTTTGTTTCATTAATTTTTTTTTTTCTTGGCTAAAGAAGTAACAAAGCGGGAATGTTGATCAACATTAAAAGTGTGCCTAGTATCCAAAAAAGCGACAGGGTTGTCAAGGCTCGGTTAAGAGTGCTTCAACCTACTAAAGGCCAAGCCCAAGCCCAAGCCCAAGCCCAAGCCCAAGCCCCCAGACTCACGCATTTTACGTCCTTTATTTAATGACCATTAAATTAAAATGTTTTGTATAATATCATGATCATATTTAATGGATCATATTGTTTGACTTTATGATATATTTGACAAATTCATAGATTTATGGTTGACTTATTACGTTAATTGCATTCATTTTGATTCTAAATAAACATGATTATATATGTTTAATGTTTACTTGATCATAGCTTTTTTATTGTTTTACGTTTGTAATCACATCTAATTTACTAAATGTATACGCCTAAGAAATGATTTATGCAACATCAATTTACTGGATCCTCTTAGCTTGATAGGTCAAAAATCCCATTTTTAGAGAATTATTATTTTGATATGATTTAAGCACATCATTGAAATGTTGGAAAGATTTCTTTATTTTGATATTGACTAGTATGTGTTGCATAGTTTAATAATTTTTATTAAATTAATCTTTAATATGCATCATTATCATACATGCGCCTTTGATCAGTCTTGTGCCTTATATTGTGCCTTGCGCTTGTGCTCCAGGAGACCTTTGGCACTTTAGTGTATACCATGAGCCTTAACAAGTGTGCTTTTTCTGTATTTTTGAACAGAGTTCAGACACATGTAAAACTATTAGAACATTCATCCAATATGGGCCCCTTGTTTTTATGCCTTCATCACGGTCATACTTTACATTCCCACTCATGGATAAAAAAAAGACACATCCTATTCCCATAGGTGTTAAATATTCGAGAACTGGTAGACCCCCAGCAATGAGAGTATCTGCGGCATATCTTCTATCAAGAAATCAGTTTGCCTCCTTGGCATTAGCAATCAAGAAGAGTATAACTTGCATATGATTGGCAAATAAGGTACTGATGATTGCTTTTCCTGCCTTTTGAATTTTTGTCTATTCATTTCAAATTTATTCCTTGAGTTTCATTTGTTGATCGACAACTCAACTTTGGCATATCCTCTTGCCCTATCTTCAGCTTTTACAAATAATTACCTCTACAATATGTTTTGATTTTGATTTGATTAGTGTGCATATGGAATTTTTGGTGATTGAATTATTACCTGTTTGGATTGGATCTTTATGGATAATGAAAATTATACTGTCTTACTGTAGTCAATGGACTCATGATTGCACTGGGGGTTGACTTGGCCACTGTTTGAATTGTAAATGGAAGCTGTTATAAGGGCACTAAAGGCCGTGCATTTTCTTAAGAAGCAAAGCTGAGAGGCTTATGCAAGTGACAAATAAAATACAGAAGATCCTTCTTCTACTCATGATGCCGTGTTTTATAGTTGTTATTTTATTATTTATTTGAGTTCTAATCTCTCAACTTTGGCTGAGAGGAAGCCTTAGTAAGTTAGTCTTGTAACTCTATGTTTTCAATTGTTAAATTTGTTTGATGTTCATACTAACTCAATAAAATATTTAAACAATTTTAAATGCATGTTCCAGTTTGTTAATTTCATGTACTTAACCGTAGACTAAAATTGATTGTATTTGGAGTCTAGCATAAAGGTTACTTGTATATAATCATGAATTAGTAATTTTCATTGGACTATTTGAGAAATAAAATAATAAATTATGACGTTTTATGCCTAAGGATGAATAATTAAAATTTATTTATTTTTCTTCAATTAATTATTTATGATTTATGACGCAGATAATAAATAGGAGGAACAAATTCTGACATTTTATGTACTAAAAAGTAATAAATTATGACATTTTATGCCTAACTGAGGATGAATAATTGAAATTTATGTTTTTTTCTTCAATTAATTATTTATGATTTATGACCACGATAATAAATAGGAGGAACAAATTCTGACATTTTATGCCTTGATTCTAAAAAATAACAAATTATGACATTTTATGCCTTTTCATATCTTTTTTTTAATTGTATTGTTACTTTAGCTTGAATCACTCAATTTTTGGTAGAATTTGTTAAGTATTAATTTTAGAATTAGGATGTCCCAATATTATCATACCCTTATAGAATGAATTTATTATCACACCAGTAAAGCGCACGTGCAATGTTAGTGGAGTGTAATATAATTCAAAAAAAAAAAAAAAGTAAGGAAAATACAATATTGTAGTTAATAATATTTTAATTTTTTTTAATAAGATTATATAATTATATATTTGATTAGTACCCTAAATTGTATTAAAATAAAAATCTATTATTAATATTTATTTTGACAAATTAAGGAGTGTCAATGTTTACAATAGTAAGGGTATAAGCTTAAAAATGGAATTAGTGTGAGTTTATTATAGGTTTAAATCATTTGGGTTTGCGTATGCCTATTAAGAATCCTATTGTATTACCAACGGGCCTAGTAGTATTGGCCCTTGCTTTTCAGAGGAATGTCAAGAATTCTAGCCTCCAAAGAGGCATCTAGGGGTGCACACGGTCCGGTTTGGACCAGATTGATTGTATTTTGAGACTAAACTATTTATAACGGTTCCACTATTTTGAACCAAACCAAACCAAACTGCGAAAAACCGGTTCGGCTCGGTTCGGTTTGTCGGTTTCGGTAGATTTCTTTTTATTTTATTTTAATTTAAAGGGGGCAAAGTTTTTTTTTTTTTTTTTTTTTTTTTCCTAAAAAATCAACCAACATTGATATAATACGCAAAAAAAAAAAAAAGAAAAAAAAAAAAGAAGAAGAATTTTAAGAAGAAATAAAGGAAAGAAAATTGAGATATATTTGAAAAGAGAAATTTGACTTTTTTTTAAAGAAATTAAGAAATTTAAAGAATAAAAGAAATAAATGGAGCACGTGAGAACTTTACTTGATTTAGGTTTAGGATATGATTTTATGTATATACATAAAAAATAACATAATAACGGTTCGGTTCGAGCTGGTCTGGTCCAGCACGACCCTAAACCAAGACCGGACCGAAAAATTACGGTTCCATAATTTTGGGCCCAGGACTGGACCAAACCGCTATACAATTAGCCCAAACGACTATACAACTAGCCCAAACCGCCCAATTCAGTACGGCCCGGTCCGGTTTTCGGTTTACTGGATTTTTTGAACACCCCTAGTGGCATGCGTGTGTGAGTATCAATTATGAAAAAAAAAAAAAAAAAAAAAACCTATTGTATTAAAGTAAGGAATCATTAATATGAAACTTAACTATTTATAATGAAATTTATTATACTCGATTTACAAATTTTTACCCTAAAAAAATACATTTTTTTATATATAATATATTAATAACAAATTAATAAATTAATCGAAAGGAAAATCAATTGAATCATACTTCAGGAAAAATCAGTACAATCATATATATATATGATGAAGGGTACTAAAGAAATATTAGAAGGGTAATTTTGGGAATAAAGGGTTTAAAATGGTTATGTACCATGCACATGACCAACTAATATCTATTTTTTATCAGAATTCTGACCCAAATTAAATTATGGGGGTGTAATTCGCACAAATTTAAAACTATAGGGATGTTTTTCAGACTTTTCCCCTTATATAATATAAAGCAGGGAAAAGTGCAAAAAATCCTTCTGTACTATTGGGGTTTTGCAACTAATTCCGTTGAACTACATAAAACCTCATTGAACTAACAAATTGTTGCATTTAACCCCTTTGAACTAACAATAGGGTGCTGGAAAAGCCAAAAGACAACATTACCCTCAATTATCCACAGCGACCTGTCTTTGGGCCTCATTTTTCTGCACAGAGAGAGAGAGAGAGAGAGAGTCAGAGCAGAAGCTGATGATACAACCAAAGCCAAACTATATATATATATATTCCAATTGGTGTTGGCTTTGTGATGGGGATGAGTGGTGATTGTGGAGGTTTTGGGTGGAGGAGCGGTGATGCTTTTGGTTGAACGTGGTGGTGGTTATGGGTTTGATGTGTCATTTGGTTACTGGAATAGGGTGATGTGCGGTGGTGGTTTTGGGTTTGCAGAGATGGGTGGCGGGATTGGGGTGGTAGTCGGTTTGTGTACTGGTTTTAATGGTGTGCCGTTGAGATGCCGATGGAGGTGGTAGTGATGGTGGTGGGTTTGATTTGGTTTAACGGTGTGTTTTGGCATGAGTTCAGGGGGGTTTCGTGGTGGTTATGTTGGTGGTCGTAGACGGTGGTGGTGGTGGTTAGAGGACAATTTGGTATTTTTATATATGGAAGGGCATTATTGGCCAAAAAACTCAGTTTGTTTGTCGCGTGATTCTCACGTGCTCATTACTGGACGGCTGGTCACCGGATGGGGTGATCTGTAACTTTTTTGCATAGTTCAGGGGAGTTTCTTGCATTTTTGGTAGTTCAAGGGGTTAGTTGTAGATTTTTTCATAGTACAGGGGTTTTTTGTGCACTTTTCCCTATAAAGTGGAATGCAATGCTTTTAATTTCATTCACAAAGTAATTTTAAAGATGGAATATTCATTCCCCTCCTTTCTCGGAATGGTCATTTCATCAAAATCATTCAATTTCCAAACTATCGAGGGTTCGAATCCCTCTCTCTCCCTTTACTCGTTGAATAGATTTGTTTATTTATTGGTTTTCCCCGGCCCGGTATCATAAATAAAGGGGGTTCGAATCCCTCTCTTTCCGTTGATGACTTGATATTTGCTTTATCTTTCAAATTTCCCCAATCCTTGGTTAAACGTGGAATAGATAAAATCCTAATAAATTTGAAAAATCAAGTAAGGAAAACGAAAAGCCTTTTTCTTTTATTCTTCACGTCCAGGATTACGTCCCGGATCATTAGATAGGAATCCAAAGATGAAAAGAGAAAGAGGATCACTTAAAAAAAGTACGGAGCAAAAATAATAGGGCGAATTGCAAAAAAAACCCTTTGACTATTACCCATTTGTAAGAAATTTCCCTTGTAAATGTTTTTGGCAAGAAATTCCCTCAACTATGAGGAGGGGTTGATTTAACTTACCTCCATTTAACAATTTTGTGAGGCAATTTTTTCTGACCAAGTTACCCTTACATATCCAAGTTCGTAGACAATGGCTGGAGAAGCACTCAAGCTGTCCTCTTTGCAGGGTTAAGGTCAGTGCTGATGACCTTACATACTTCGTGTACTCAACCATGGAGCTTTTTGTCCAGAGAGAGGAAGACCATCATGGTTCTTCGAGATTTAGCATTGGAAGCAGCTTTAGGAAATCTGAAAAGGGTAAGAAAGAAGAAGAATTTCCCATCCAAGTAGATTGTGACAGCGACGAAAATGAAAAAGCTCTACATAAGTTAAATCACAGGATCATTATGTCTGATGTGGTCCTCAAGAATAGATGGAACAGTGTGAGTTCTTCTGACCTCATGCTCCTGAATTCGGAGATCCTTAATGCTATGTCAAGCAATAGATTCTCTTCCTTGGATGTAAATAATGATCAATCCGCGACACCAAGTGGGGTTGAAGACACAGAAATTTTGAAGATCAAGGAGGAGATGGAGAGGGAGAGAGTGTTTGAGAGCAGGGTCAATAAAATCAACCAAACTGATTCAGATCTTCCTAACACTTTGGAGTCCAAAATATATCAAAGTCAAACATCAAGATTTTTGAATCCCAACACACACAGATCGATGTCAGATATAACAGTTCGTCCAAGATTCACAGAGTTGGGCATGAGAAATAGTAATAGAGACACTTCTCTTCCTGAAAATAATGTCAAGGAGGAAAGATTGAGGAGGCTTTGGTTGCCAATTGCAAGAAGAACAGTTCAATGGTTTGCCAATAGAGAGGAAAGGACACAACAGTCTCGCAACACAAGACACTCGATGTGTAATTTTGTTCTGTGCATCTCAAGCTTGTTTCAAACTCATCATATATTGATCACATTTCCATGATTTCACTTTAACTTCTGTAATAAATAGATTTAGTAGAAACACTATGCAAGTTTTACACATAAAATCCATAATGTTATATTGAAGTTCTTAAATTTCATAAATTTGTTATTGTGATCCAAGTCAACAAACCCTGTGTGTTACTATTTGATACTATTTTTTTTTTTTGGTTTCCTGTTTCATGACAGCGACGAAAATGAACACACAGGAATCTCCAGTATGCTGCTTGCAAAAAACTCCGAAGCACTCTCTCTCTCTAAGGGATATATTGTTTTTTAAGCTAGGTGATTGAACTGCGCTCCATTTGGTTGATTAATGGGTGGTAAATATATATTGCTCTCTTTTTTTCTTACAGTTACTAGAAAGTGTGGGAGATTTTTTTATTTTTTTGGTGAAGACCCAACTAAAGCTACTAACCCAAATGTAAGGGTAATTTGTTCAGAAAAAATTGTCTCACAAGATTGTTAAACGGAGGTAAGTTAAATCACCCCCTTCTCATAGTTGAGGGGAGTTTCTTGACAAAAACATTCACAATGGGGTTTCTTACAAATGGGTAATAGTCAAGGGTCTTTTTTTTTATAATTCGCCCAAAATAACATTAAAAATGACTTTACTTAGGAGATCCAACAAAAGTCAATTTTTTCTTGATATTTCTTCTTTAATTTCCAAATATACATCGAAAATATATATTTACGCATATTTATATATATATAAATAGTTTAACTTTCCTTTTTAAGTCATGACCAAACGAATGAATGGGTTCTCATTTCATTCCCTAGTTCATTTCATTCATACCTTATTTCATTTCTTCATACCAAACTAGCCCTTAAACTAAGACAAATTAATAATTTTAAAAGAAAACAATACATTAATTACATATCACCTTGAAAACTTATAATTCATTAATTCTAAATTTGGACATTGAATAATTTTTTTTTTTTTTTTTTTTTTTTTTCATAAGAGCTATAGAAGTGACAAACCATGACCACCCATTAATATTGACTTGACCATTGTGTAATAATGGACACTTGATCTGGGCAAGGGTCCGCAACTCGCCGGAGATGATGGGTCACTGAAGTTCTTCATCTTTTTCTTGACGGAATTCAAAGTTCTTCATCTTCACCGTCTGGTTTGGTCACTACCATTGGGTCGTTGATGCTCGGTCTTCTCACCGGAACAAATGGTCCATGCAACTCATTGTGCTTATATGTATAACAAATTTATATAGGTTTTGGAACAGGTAATGAGAGAGATTATTGGACCAGCTTCAAGGATTGAAAAATCAATCTCACCAAGTTGGTTTGTTAATATTCTTCCATTTTTATCTCTAAGCACTAAGATTTCAATTATGGGTTGAGCCCCATTAGAATAAAACGTTTACAGAATCCACAGAGAACTGACGGTAATATTTAGTAATAGTAATGAAATAAAAACAACGAAGTGTTTGTGGATGCAAGTGATACCCATTGGATAAAACATTCCTAAATTTTTGTAAACCCAATCACAAACAATAAAAAATTTACTTTTCAAGAAACTTTGGGGAGGCCACACACTTTTTGTCACTGCTTTTTTAAATATTACGTACTTGATAACATTCTCAGGATCCAACCCTTGATAAAATTTCTACAATTTGCCCAATTCTTGCAATCCTCATGGTCAAGAGCATCACATTCCAAATAATTAAGGCGGCATTTTGTAGGGCCAGAATCTTTTTTGCAATCCCTCTTGCAGTATGATTTCCAGCACGTCAACTGACAGCAAATACCATGTTGCCCCTAAAACCTAGAAAAAATAGCAGAAAAAAGTGTAATTGTCATTATGTAGAGTTTATAATATATAGAAAACACAAACTTACTAGGATTACTTTGATACTAATAAAATAGAGCCCATTTAAATTTCCCCCTATTATTTATTTTTGTTTTCAATGCCAGGTGAACAACAAAAGATCACGCCTAATACCTTTTTCTTTTCAGGAATTTAAAATACATTTTAAAAAGTAAAGTAAAAGTGCCTGACTTCAGATTTGTCTGAAGACAATTCCTCATCAGACGATTCGCCATTGGATGATTCGTTATCCGATGATTCTTCAGCTTCAATTCCTTTTTTCGGATAGATCTCATGTCGTGGAATCTTCAATTGATCACACATGACTTGTGTCTCAAAACCTCTTTTGCCTTTCGGAAAACTTTGTCCCAACTCCCAAGGTCAAACGTGAAGCTATATACGCAACTCTATTAGCTATAGCATTTCCTTGAGGATGTAGAAACTTTATGTGATAAACATCAAAATTTTTCAACATATCAATAATTTTTGTGCAAAACAATAGTTTTTATATCAATATAATTGAAAACAGAAATCTAAATTTAAAGAATAAACCCAAACTTTATACAAAAAGCGTAATTAAAAAGTTCTAAATACTCCACTGGTATACGCTTCTCATCATTTAGCACCTTGACAATTGTTTTATGGTCAATCTCAAATATCATTTCCTTTACTTCTGATTTACTTCGGAGAATTTCATCAATCCCATGATGCACTCCAAGTAAGAATACTTCATCTCTAGACGTTGCATCAGGAAGTGGCTTATGGAAATTTCCAAAATCATTCCCTTACAATCTCGGAATACTTCTCCACAAGAAGCTTCTTTAGTCCCACCAAGATTTTCCTTAAAAAACCCAGAGACGTTTAACTTGTGCCAACCAACAGGTGGCTGACGCCAAATACATGCAAATATACCGTCTCTTGGTAAATTAATCGGACAACTCTCCAAAACATAAATTTGCTGCTTAAACATGTAATTATAAACCAGTTAATCATATTGTATAGGAATGCTTTGTACAAGGAATGAACACTTCTATTACTACAAAGAATGCTTTGTACAAGGCTAGCTCAAGTTCTTTATTTAGCTCTCAACTCACACTCTAGAACTTGGTTACAAATGACACTTGGCTCTCAACTCACACTCTAGGACTTGTTGGTTACATATGACACTAGTCATCTATTTATAGGCCTCCTCACCACTCTCTTTAACTTCATACATATTTTACGTATTTACAAACTCAACAAAATTCCCTACTCATCTAGAATCTTCTCTTCTCTACTTCTCTACATATTTACATGTTCTCCAATATTCTAAAATCTTCCAACTCCCTCTACAATACTGTATATTTCTCTACACTAAGCTGGAATACACTAGCACTCCACTTGCCTCATGCCACGTGGTAGTCATCATGTAAAGTCCTTACCGCTCGGGTGTCGCCTGTGTGGCATAGCCACGCTGTACAATTAGGCAGGGTGTATAGCTAAACACAATGCAAAAATTCAAACTGAATTAGATCTTCAAAACCATTTCAAACTCTCGACCATGTGTTTCATTACGGACTTTTTTCTTCATTTTTTAAAACTAGCAACGACAAGCATGGAACTGATGTTCTGGAATTATAGCAATAAATGATTGCAATTTGACCTTTCCTTATCCTCTCCATGAATGATATTAATATCATCATTCGGAACAAATTCATTTGCTCTTTTTCTTCTTTTATTTCTTTCTAATGTCCTCTTTTATTTCTTCTTTAACACTCACTGGGCATCTTATGCATGCACTCACATTCCGGTGGTTTTTCTGAGACTGTTTCGGATTGCAGCACATAAACTTCCTGCAATAGCCGATTGCTATCGCCTTCATAACAGGAGACCGATTTTGTATAACACAATTCATAAGACCATCCCAAGATTGGAAGGTGGAGGACTCTGTTGAGCTCCAGGGGATGTTGTACAATCAGTAGATAGGTAGTGGGGAGGAGGATGAGTGGGCATGGGAGTGGCTTCTCATTGGAGATTTGACTTTTGAGGTTCGCCCTTTATAAGTGATTATTGAACGTGGAGGGATTGCCTTTTTCCTTGGAAGGCAATTTGGCACACCAAAACCCCTTTAAAGGTAGCTTTCTTTGGGTGAAGAACTTTATGGAGGATTCTGACAATAGATAACCTCCGGAGAAGGCGTAGGCTGCGTATCTGATCGTCAATTGGTGTTGTATGCGTAAGATGGATGAGAGTCGGTAAACCATCTACTCTTGCATTGCCTGGTGACTGGAATGGGGCTTTATTCTTGTCTGCTTTGGTGTTTCTTTGGTCATGCCTAATTCTACCTAAAGCATGCTTACAGCTTAGAGAGGATGTACAATGAGGAAGCAAACTCGAGATGCTTGGATGGTTGCTCCTCTTTGCTCGTGGTCGGGTATTTGGGAGAGAGAGTAATAGGGGATCTTTTGATGGGGAGGAGACTCCTATTTGGGCACTCAAATTCTCTATTCTTATTTTGTTAGTTGTTACTGTAAATGGTTGAAATTATAAATTTGCAGAGGATACGATGATTTTTAAGGATAGTTTGAGGAAATAGCATATTGTTTTGGCTGTGAGATTTGTATTTGGGATGCGTTCAAGCGCTATTCTATGATATGTTAGTTATCACCAAAAAAAAAAAAAAAAAAATTGAAGAAGAATAAGAAGCAGCAGCATTAGCACTTCAATAATGGATAAGAAATGTAACTTCAACTAATATTTGCATTGCTTTCTGGTTCAATTTTTTCATAATTGTAAACTGCAACCTCAAATTCATGCTCTTATCATGACCATGACTTGAGTTCTGTTCTCAGTCCAGGTTTGGTCATAACTAATTAAGAATCGAAGTAGAAATGAATTTTGTGAAAAATGAATAAGTACTGTTATGTAACAACTATAGATTGAACATACCAAATCTCCGGATCTCCGAACAAATAATATCCATGTTTTACGTATTCATTTGAATCCCACTAGGATACCTAGATATAAGATTTACAAATTCCCCCCTCCATATTTTTCTTTTTCCTTTTATCTCTTTAAATATGGGGTATCAATCTATAGGATGCTCCTACCCAAATTCAAATTGGATTTTTTTTTTTTTTTTTCAAATAACAAATATTAAAAAAAAAAAAAAAAATTGTGCACCATATTACGAGGATAATGCAAATGAACAGAGAAGTAGAGGTTAAAACAATGAAAATATACAACTGCATCAGGCTCTAAGCTCATAAGCTATAAATAGAGCTTTTGGATCACATAACTTGTAACAAAATTATATCATTCGAATGGAAAAGTTATGAAAAATGAGGGAACATGCATCATAAACACACTTACCTGGGCCCTCACCGTTGATTGCATCACCAGCTTCATTAGTAAAAAAGGTATTACTCACAACATCTCTAACTGCATCAGGCTCTAAGCTTATAAACCATTGCCGGCTGTCGCAAGTGTTCCTCATCATCATTTGCGGCTAACAATGCAAGAATTAGTCAGCCAAATATGATATGACAGATGAAGATGTAATTTCCATTTGAATTTGAACTCCTACAGAATATCCAAATTCAAGCCCACACCAAATTTAAAGGTAAACCAAAAGTCTTCCACAACACTATGAAGAAAAAAAAAATACAAAAAATTGTTACATATGCTATGCGAAGAACGCAGCAAAGGGCAATCTTATTCAAGTCAAATAATTACATTGATCAAGTGTTGATCATCATATTTGCAGGGATATGCTGGTCCTTCTTTTAGGAATCGATTGAATGCTCTGTTTTTCTTACCTTCAGCGTGAGGAAGTTGTTTGGAGCACGAGTCCAAATCCGAATTGTTAGTTGGAATATATGATTCGGAATTGGAGTCGGAATAAGCGAAGGTGCGAAGGGAACGAACAGCCATTCGAGAGAGGAGCTTCGAGTAGCTTGTGATGAGATCTCTTGATGCCATTCTTACATCTAGGGTTTTGGGGAGAGAGAGAGAGAGAGAGAGAGAGAGAGGAGGGGTAGAGGTTTTTTTAAGGCTTAGTTTAGTTACAGAGAAGAGAAAATAAAAGATACTACGTAGCAATAATTTTTATTGTAATTGAAAAAACAAATACTAATTAAATTATTATGTACTATTTTAAATAAATAAGATATGAGTAGATTAATAATTTAAAAAAAAAATTATTGAGAGGAGTTTTAGAATTATAAAAATATTAGAACAGGATGAATAAGGAGCCTATTCTTTCTTTTTTTTATTTATTATTATTTGAACTCATCCAAAAGCAATTAACTTTTTTCCAACATGTCATTTCTTTTCATTCACGATCCCTTCAATTCCCTCCATTCAAACTGATAAGGAAAAATATAAACCTACCCTACCCTCGATAAGATTGATTAGATTTCATTATCAAATATAATGAAATCTGACGTAGTTCAACAGGTAAGAATAATCCGATTATAACTTGAGGAGGTCAAAAGGATTAAATTATATCCCGACAAATCTGGCAACAAATCTCCTATGATTTCACACAAGCAGGAGATAAGATCAACCATCGACATCGGCGGAACAATTTTGATTCCAATCGACAGCCATAAATAGGGCACCAAGCTATTAAAGAAGGTACGACGTAAAAATTATTATTAATCCCTGCCATCTTTTTAAACCTCCGTGACTAATTTGATCGTCGGAGAGCTCTTGGCAGGCACCACACCGGTGCCGTCAAGGTTCATCGATCTTCTCCTCTCTTCCTTGCAGGAATCGTATCGGACTGCGCGAATTTCAGCCTCAACAGTTGGTGCCGTTTGTGGGAACGACGATTCCCTTGAATCAATTAATTACTCGTTGGGTATATAAGTTTGCAGTCCGGTATGGTTACCGAAGGAACACCGTCGCAGGGATCTGGTCAAAGGGTAGAGTCGGGTGAAAACCTGGACGTCCCAAACGACCAAGCACGGCTTGCAGCGTTGGAACTGCAGGTTCAAACTCTGAGTCAGGGTATGAACCAGTTGATCCAGCAAAATGCAATACTCTTGCAACACTTGTTCCACCAGTTCAACAAAACTTTCCAAGACAAGATCTCTCAAGTCCAAACGGAGGTAATGGGAATCTTGAAGAGAAGCATAATCATTCCCCCAAAAATGAGACTGAAGTCGAACAAAGCCAGGTGGGAACCCGACGTAGAGAGGTGGTTCACCCATCTCTCCCACGTAGTTCCCTGAAAGCATAGCCTTCTGTCTTAAGAAAAAGACAAAGAAAGTTACCCATATCGACTTGCAGATTAAGGATCTTAAGGGAAAAATGGAAGATGTAATGCAGGCTATGAAAGGAGAAAGGTCATGCCGCCGTAGATGACCAGGTACAAAGGACCAACCTGCTTTTCAGCCCCGCCGTTATGAAATGTCCACTACCTAGCAAGTTCAGGATGCCCTCGTTCGAAAGCTTCGATGGGACCAAAGATCCCTTCGATCACCTAGAAACTTTTCAAGCTCTTATGCATTTACATACTGTGCCAGATGAAATCATGTGCCAAGCTTTTCCCACTACACTTAAGGGATCAGCGAGAGTTTGGTTCAACAAGTTGAAGCCAGGAACCATCAACACATTTGAAGAATTGAGTAAGCAGTTTGTGAGCCACTTCATTGCAGGTCAGAGGCATAGGAGGCCGGCTACCTACCTGTTTACCGTGGAGCAACAAAAGGAAGAGTCGATTCGAGAATACATCACCCCGATTCAACGCAGAGATGTTGCAGGTAGAAGAGGTGGACGACAAGGTAGCTTTGACCGCTTTCATAAGAGGACTCCAAACCTCCAGATTCTTGTTCTCCTTATCAAAAGAACCTCCCACCAGCATGATAGAGTTGCTGGTCAGAGCGCAAAAACACATCAACGCTGAAGACACCATGAGTGCAAGGAAGAAAGGAGAGGACAAGAAGAGGCCAGCCCCTCTCGCCAGGGATGAAAATAATACTAAATATAAGAAATCGTTCTTCAGCCAGAGTGACAGCACATATCATGAGAAGGACTCAGATGAGTATACCGACTAGAAATTGTCTCACGACTGGAATTAGCCTTATCAAGTCATTCACAATAAAGACTGGAGGCATCTTAGTTAATTATTTTAAATAGAGGGTAGCTCCATCACATGTTTTTTTGTTTTTAATAAGCCTTTAGGCAATGATGGTCTTTAATAAAATTCTTTTTAGTTTATACGTGCAATATCCCCGTACTATAAGGAATAATAAATGAGTGTCCCGTAGTATAAGGACCCGGGCTGAGTGAATCCTGTAATCCGTATCCCCGTACTATAAGGGATAGTAAATGAGTGTCCGACCCGGGCTGAGTGAATCCCGTAATCCGTATCCCCGTACTATAAGGGAATAGTAAATGAGTGTCCTGTATTATAAGGACCCGGGCTGAATGAATCCCGTCATCCATATCCCCGGACTATAAGGATAAGTATCTTGTATTATTAGGACCCGGGCTGAATGAATCCCGTAATCCATATCCCCGTAATATAAAGGATAATAAATGAATATCATGTACTACAAGGACCCGGGTTGGATGAATCCCGTAATTAATATCCCCTTACAATAAGGGATAGTAAATAAAAATCATTTATTAAAGAAGTGAGCTGAGTAAAACTCGTAAAGTTCAATTCCCGTATTAAAGGAGTGAAACTCATACAATTTATTCCTTTATCAAAGGAAGAGTACTGTTCCCTCGGGTGCAAAAAAAAAAAAAAAAAAAAAAAATTCCTGAGTTACTATTCACGTGAATAGTGCCCGCGGGTACTGTTCACAGGGGTATTTAAAAAAAAAATTCCCTTAGTTACTATTCACATGAATAGTACTCGTGGGTACTGTTCACAGGAGTTGAAAAAAAAATCATGAGTTACTATTCACGCGAATAGTACTCGCGGGGACTGTTCACAAGGGTTGGAAAAAAAAAAAAATTATTATTATTATTATTTATTACATTCCCAAAGCTAGACGTGCAAGCTTGGGAATGGGGGGCAACTGTAATACCCCTAATTTTAAAAGGATAGTCTCGGTATTTATTTATTTATTTTTATTGTATTTTTTTAATTATTTAATTGATTATTTGACTAATTGTTTATGTGTTTAATTGAATTAAGTGTTACTTGATTAATTGGCTACTTATCTATGTGTTATTTGTATTTTGTCTAGGTGTTATTTGTATTATTTGTTTAATTAGATTGTGTGCTTAAATGATGTATTTGATTAATTGTAATTAATTGTAAATTAAATGATTAAATGTTTTATTTTATTTTATGGTTAGTAGTAATGGGCCAACCAATTGGGTCCCATGGACTATTTGGATAGGAGGTTGGATGTGTATGGATTATTACCCATGGATAATGTATGTATATATATAGATATATATTATATACATATATAAAAAGGAAAGTAGTTTATTAATTATTTTTATGGTAACTTGGGTAGTAATATTTAATCTGATATATATGTTTTATATTTAAATAATAAAAATATACATAGATTTGATACGTGTTATGTTTTAAGTTATTTTATAATATTATGGTAACTTAAGTATTATTGGATAATCCATTAATAAATAAGGGAATGTGTATAATTTATTTATTTAATAAACATATACATAAATTATATACGTAACATATTTTACTTACCTTTTAATATATATATAAAAGAGGAAGTAATTTATTAATTACTTTTATAGTAATTTGGGTAGTAATATTTAATCTGATGTATATGTTTATTTAAATAATAAAATATACATAGATTTGATACGTGTTATGTTTTAAGTTACTTTATAATATTCTGGTAACTTAAATATTATTGGATAATCCATTAATAAATAATGGAATGTGTATAATTTATTTATTAATAAACATATACATAAATTATATACGTAACATATTTTGCTTACCTTTTAAATATTTTTATTTTCATTTTTTTTTTTTAGTTGACTTGGATTGGGAAAAGGGTTAGGGTTATTTTATTTAGCTTATAAATATATAGCTATAGGTTGTAAAAGGGGGTTAGAAATATTCACGTGATATATACTGGAGAGATAGTGTTAGAGAGGTAAGGAGGAAAAGGAAGGAATGAGGAGAAAAACCATGTAGAGAGAAGATCAAGGAAGAAGAAGTTTAACTTTCGATCCGAAAGTTTAAGGCAAGTTCTTCTTCTATCTCTTTCCCTTTGATTCGTGTTTCTGTACATGCCTAGGAAATTCCAGGATTTATTAAACACATAAAATTAAATAATTATGCATGTTTAATTGGGTTAGAACATAGGTTTTATGAAATTGGTTCATATCTGTTCTTGTGTTATGAATTGATAAAATTCATGATTTTGATTTGATTTCTTATGTGAATTTTTACATGTTTAAATTATGTATTTTTCATATCTGTGGAATGATGGAACGTAGAAACATGCCTAGGATTCCTGAACATTAAATAGGGATTAGGTTTGGGTTTTAATGAATTTAAATAGACTCAATCATAATGATGCTTGCTATTTGAATGTTTTAAACGAATGAATTTAATCTTTTAAAATGTTTTAGCAATTGAGATTAAATGTGTAGGATGAATTGGATACAGAGAATCCTTATTTAACGGTATAATAAAATATCATCATGTATAAGATTCAGTTTGTGTAGGACATATGATATAGAAAGTTTAAAGAAATAATAAGTCATTCCTATTATGTGATAACTTGATATCATATTTATCATAGTTATTTATGGAATGTTTGATGTATTTTCCTTAATTGTTACATCAATTGTTGGATTGTGTGGTTTAATGCACCGGTATGGGACGGTGGCATTCTAGGGATGAATTAACTTATCAGTTAAGTCCTACCTATTTTATATAAGGGAATGGATTAACTAAAATGTTAAGTCCTACTTATATTTAAGTCAGGTCAGCTGAACAAGTTGAATGACTTATGGAGGATTAATTTATTATATAAGGGAATGGATTAACTAA